AGCAGCAAAATCTCTTACATATTTTTCATTTTTTATTTCCTTATTCAATACAAACAGCTAGCTCTGCTGAAATCAAACAAGGGAATAAGATTCATTCCAGAAAAAGGAAAACAGAAAACAGAGAAAAAAACAAAGTGAACGATGCATGGGGTCCAATCATCCAACAGATGGAGAGAAACTAGCAAAAAGAAGACCTCACACAGCTCTTTGCCAGTTCCAGGCCTAGCCACCTTCGAACTTCTTTTTCCCCCCTTTTACCGTACGCCACCAATTAAGCTCCCAGCCTCCCACTTTCTTTAACCTCAAAACCCACTCGTGTGGCTTCCTTCCTTCACCAGTCGTCACCATTATTTGATATTTTCAATAGTTCAAAACTAATAGTATTACCATTAGACCAAGTCATTCGGATTATTGTGTTTTATACGATATCGACACCACCACGAGTTACGTAGTACGTAGGTGGTGCGTGTTACGGCCTTACGGGGGGTCCACATGCAAGGTAAGTAAGTTGGTGTACTGTAATATGCATGCAGATGCATGGCATAAAGGAGCGGGGCCGTGGGGTTAGCAAAAATGGAAGGAAATGTGGCGGGGAAGGAGGAGACGTTTGGTTATGAATTTGCCACTCGTGGCTTCTTTCTTCTTATTATTTTTTCTCTCTTCTGGTTACTACACTACTAGGCAGTTGGAAAGCGAGGAAATTAATTAAAGAGGAGCACGTACGTTTTTCTTGGTGGTGGGTGCATGCTGCTGCTGCAGGTGGGGGTTTATTGCTATTTACGCAGCGGCCAGAAGTAAAAGGGGAGAGTGCAGCGGTGAGTCTGTATTTCAATGGGGAAATCCTCTCTTTTCCATTATCTTCTTGGTTTTCTTTGTCCTTTAGCTTTGGCTTTGCTATCTTTGGCAGGCAAGGTAGCTCAATGTAGAAAGCTTTCACGTGACCCGCTAGAGTTTCCTTTCTCCTCCTCCTCTTCGCTGCTAACCCAGACTCATATGTTAGTGTATGGTAATCCCCTTGTGTGTGCCTAGGGCTAGGATCGATGGTTTTATGGGGTTAATCTGTCGTTCGTTCATATAATCTTTCTGTTACGTAGTGGTCTATAATTGAACAATCACTCAATTACTTAAATTGTTGTGATCAATTGGTTCATGACATGGTATATCCAAACTTTTTGTAATTGATAGGTCTTCTGTTCGAATACTGATGACCCCATTTGTTATTTTAAGCACATTGTATCCTCACATGTGCAAACTTCAAACACATATAAATTGACTTTTGTTTAAAGGGGATGTGTTAGTTATTGGTATATAATATGACACCCTCAGCTTCCCTATCATTGGGGCAGTTTAGGTATCACGGTGGAACTTAGCGTTGAAATCATTTCTCGAATTATTTACTCTAACAGAACCAGTGTTTGAGAAATCATGTCGTTGATGAATCGTAATTAACCCACGATTCAAGGATTTGCTTGTAACTCACAAGCAAGAGAATGACGTTGGTGTCGAAAGATCTTTGTTTTATTGATTTGATAAACGGAATTGATGTCGAACTTACATGTATATAGGATAGAAAAACCTAATACTTGACCCTACAGTACCCGACTACCCCTTCCCAAACGCAAAAGGAAAACCAACCCCAAAAGGAAAAAGACGTCCCTACGACCCAAAATTCCCCAAGGCCCAACCCGAAAATAACCTCATCAGTCGTACTGGCTATTCAATCGCAACACTACAATACCTGTAGACAGTGGAGGAGCCACTTGAGGCCAGAGTGGTTCATTTGCACCATCTTTGCCAAAACTTATGGAGTAAATATGTGTATGCGATTGTTGATTGAATACAATATCTCCATATTATTATAGATAATTTTATGAATAGTAGTGTTATGTGACCTCTATTTAACTTTTAAATCGTATATTCTGTAAGTGAATTTGAAATAAAAAAAACTCCAAACTTATGGGTGTTTGCTGCTATCGGTTGCCATTGTAAATATTGAAATAGCACTTACTGCAATAAGCAAAGTAAAGAAACACTTCAGAATAAGATGAGTTGTAGAATCATGAACGATTTTTCACTGTGGAATCTTAACATCCCTCATAATCTGCATGCTGAATGTACTTTAAAAAAAATTCAAATTAGGAATGCATCCTAAAACATAAGTTTTTCTCCATGTTTGACCCACCTTGGAAAAATTTCTGGCTATGCCACTGTCTGTAGACAGATTTTAGCAAAATGAAACAGTTCGTTTTCAGTACAAAATATCCAACCACTAGCTTTTCCGGTCTAACCTTCATTCTGAGAAAAGAAAAAGTGGAATGCAAAGTGAAGCAAAGACACTCGCTTTAGAGGTTCCCTATGGATGGATTCCTTGCCTTTCTTACTGATGTACGTAGTAAAAGAATCTCAGCTCTGTCCCTAATAACTAATCACATCACAAATTTTCCTTTATAACAAAGCACCACAACAAGTACTTTTTTTTGCTTGTGTAAAACAACAGTGGAAACGTGAAAACCCCCATCAGAAGAAAAATGGAGATGACAGTCGCGGCCAGGACGTACGAACAAAACAATACTTGCCAAATGCCACCTAGCAAGCTTTCGTACCAGGCCCAGCAGCATAAGCATCGGCAAGAACCAGACATGAGAGAAGAAAGAAGAATCATAGCTGCTACAGTTGTGTTAAACCATGAAAAAGATGGCACGAAAACGAAACCCATTCTTTCATTCATTCATTTATGATCATCATGACCGATTGATCGATCGACCGAGTGCGTGTATGTATTGAGTTTGTCAAGCGAATATTTCACTGTACTCTGTTATCAACGTTTACAATCCCCAGTATTTTATGTTATCATTCATTGTGATTGGTAAAAAAGCTATTTTTGTACTCTGCATGTAAGTATATGTTTGCTTGGTAAAAAACAATAATGCACGATATTTTGAAGTAGGGTAATGGAAGTTTTGGATTCATCGCTAATCCGAAATCGAACCGTTTAAGCAGTCTTTGTCGGTTAATGATAAGTATTGGGTGGTCGAATTCACAAATCCACTCACAATCAATCCACTCATTATGTAGTGGATGATACATATTTTTGGTTGTGAGTTGTAAAATAGGCAACCCACTAAATATCTTCACAATTTTTTTTTTGGTGGTAAAAAAGATGTATCGCATCTTGGCTTTCATTCAACATCATAGGAGGCTCGGAAAGCCCCTAACAGTCATACAAAATGAGATGATACAAATGGGGTCAGAAGGAGGAATACCATGCAACCCCATAGACAGGGAATGACCACAATCAGCTAAGTAATCTGCGCACTTATTATCCTCATGATAGATATGGGAAACTACCAGTTCCCCCACCCCCAGCTCGCAAGCTCCTGGAATCTAGCCACAATGGCTGAATGACGGTGGGTAGAGCTCTCAACACTCGTCACCATCTGAACCGCGCATCTAGAGTCTAGTTCCACTCAGATGCGCTGGTAGCCGAGATCCCAAGCCACCTGAACACCTTCAACAGCTCCTCTCAACTCTACCTGGGTGATGAAGCAGTATCCCAGGTTACAAGAGAACGATGCAATGTAGTGTCTAGGATGATCTCGAATTAGGCCACCAGCTGCAACTGAATGAATTATTGAGGATAACTAAAAAGTCTAATTTGTTTTCCTAGTTGGAAATCTATATCATATGTTTTACAATTCATTGTTAATTTTTCATATTTCGGCTTATTTTATTGCTCATTTTAAAAGTGCTCGGTGAGTTATTGTGGCTCAAGACTTAAACAATTAGCTAGACTTATGATGAAATTTTTTTATTTTGTTTTGATTATACTTAGGTAGTGTCTATCAGTTGAATATGTTTGTGATTCTATGAGCAATTACTAGAGGTATTATTGTTAGCTAAATGATGCACTTGATTTAGGATTAAAAGTAACTTTGTCTTGAGATTTCTATCATCTTATGTTTAGAACCATATGAATTATGTGATATCTTGAAATGTACGTTGTAAACTCACCCACCCCTCATATGCTGTCACACAACTCAACACATCCACATGTATATGCATGGATGGGTGCGAGTCATTTTTCCCTTCTTCCACCACGTAATAGATGATTCCAAACTCACTTAAATTCGAATAAATCAACTCAATGCTCACTTCTATACGAAAAAAATCACCGTTATTCATGGATTCATTAATCAAACAATTTATATCTTCGAACAATATGTACCCTTACCTAGTGAAACTGAAAATATATTTTTGCTTGAATAATCAAAACCGAAGAGTTGTATGGTAGAGATCAACAATGTTATTGTCATCGACAATAATATATAGAGTATCATCTCTGATTCATAATAATACCCAAACGCCTAAACGTTGGATCGTATCTACCAACTATCTCTTGTTAACAATTTTGGTCTCGTGGTCATCATCTCCTCTTACTGCAACATTCACCAGTCACCACCATCTTCCTCACCTTTTCCTTGAGAACGTCATACTTTGACTGTTTTTTTTTGTTCATCTAAAAAAGTAGTTAACAGAATAAAAGAAGAATTTTTTTTGTTAACTAGCCGTCTTAGCTCAGCTGGTAGAGCGCGTGGCTTTTAACCACGTGGTCGTGGGTTCGATTCCCACAGACGGCGTTATGAACTTAATGAAAGTGAAAGTTTTTTTTTAATCCGTCGCAATACGGTCATGAAACAACCTCACACAAGGAGAATTTAACAATAGAAGGGAAGGATTCTAATTCAAGCCTTGTCATAGAAATCTGTTCTATTCCAATACGAGCATGAAACCAAGTCGCAATACGGTCATGAAACAACCTCACACAACGAGAATTTAACAATAGAAGGATTCTAATTCAAGCCTTGTCATAGAAATCTGTTCTATCCCAATACGAGCATGAAACCAACTCACCCAACGAAAATTCAACTATAGAAGGGATGTAAGGATTCTAATTCGAGCCTTATCGTATATAACATGTGTTATTCGTCATTAATATGTTTAAGGATTCGAATTCGAGCCTTGTGGTATATACTGTTGGCGTGATTAATTGTACCCATTAGTAAACTATTATTACTTTGGGAAGTTTATTGTAATTGGTCTGCTTCTCCTAATTACCCTAGGTCTCTGTCGATGGGTATTAGTAGGGTTTACATCCCAAGCAGCCAAACTAGGCTTGTAGGTGGATTTCTATTCTGCCGATCTCATATAGTGAAACTCATCTGAGAGCTCTGCTCTCCGTGGACTAGTCCCGTTATTGGGGAAACCACGTAAATCACCGTCTCGTTTACTTTCCGCAGTTATCAGTTTTTACATGGTATCAGAGCCTAGAACCGAAAGGTCATGTGTTTGAATCTCCACGACCCCCAATATTAACCGTTGTCTTTCAAGCACATGGTATGGTGGGCCTGTGCAAACTTCAAGCCCATGGGTTGGCTTTCGTTTGAGGGGGCGTGTTAGAGAGTGGTATAAGATCCAACAACTCGAGTTATTGGGATCAACTGGTTCTTGACATGGTATCAGAGCTGTAATCGATCTCGCGGCCAACGATCACAACCATGACCAAGGATGAAGACTCTTCGAGTGGTACTAAGGCAGCTATGATCGACTGTGAATCGATCCCGCTTACTTCTCCTTTATTTCTTCATCCCTCGGAAAATCCTTGGCAATTGTTTGGCCCTGATCTGTTAACAGATTTGAATTACAATGAATGGGTTAGCGATATGACGGAGACCCTCATCGCCAAGAACAAAATGGCTTTTGTCAATGGCAGCTTACCTCTTCCGGCGGCAGGCGAGGGCATTCGTCTTGAAGCTTGGGATAGGTGCGACGCAACCGTGAAGGGTTGGCTCAAAACCTCTATGAATAAAGAGGTTCGGAACAGCGTACGCGGGGCTAAAACGGCTAGGGAAATATGGCTGGACCTCGAGCAGCGGTTCGAAACCAGTTCTGCTGGGCGTGCCTATGGGCTGCGGGGATTGCTTGGGTCTCTACGACAGGAGAAGTTGTCGGTTAGTGCTTTCTACACTAAGTTGCGAACCTTGTGGGACGAGCTTCAAACAGTTAGTATAAACCCTCGCTGCACTTGTGGAGGCTGCTCTTGTGACATTGCCAAGCAGACACGTGAGAAGCAAGAGGGTGCACATTTATTTGACTTTCTTCTCGGCTTGGACGACACCTTTTCTGTGGTGCGCTCCCAAATTTTGAGCTCCAAGCCGAAGCCATCTCTTGCTGAAGCTTACCAGCAAATTGAAACAGAAGAGCAACAGAAGCAGCTGGCGGCAGCTCGTCGTCCTGTGGTGGAGTTCGCCGCTTTTCACTCCCGTGGCGACAAAGATGCTTATTCTGAAGATAAGCCACGATGTAGCCACTGTCGCAAACGTGGTCATACCAAAGACATGTGCTTTCGACTCATTGGCTACCCATCCGAGCAAGGCAAAGGGCGCACTAGTGATGCCCGAGCAGATCGCCCCGCTTCGAGTCGGCGTCCACAACACGAGGGAGTCTCGCGGGCAGCGCAAGTCGACTTAGATGATAGCCCCATCCCTGGGCTGACCAGTGCCCAGTTTCAGCAGCTGAAACAGTTCTTCAATGCACCTACATCTGGGCCTTCGGATCCCACGGCTCACATGGCTGGTATTGTCACTGAACCCTATGAATGGCTTATTGACTCGGGTTGTAATGAGCACATCGTTATGGATGCTAGTTGGCTTGATAAACTTGATCGCAGTGATCATTATGCGCCTGTTCGTATCCTGAATGGGAGATGCATTCCTGTCGAAGGAACGGGCTCCGTTGCACTCACTAATCGGATTACATTGCATAGGGTCCTTCATGTGCCAGAGTTCAAGTGTATCTCTTGTCAGTTAGTCGGCTCACACAGGACCATAATGTGGCCTTACTCTTCTTGGCTGACTTTTGTGTTCTTCAGGACTTACGTTCCAGGATAGTGATTGGACCGGGTCGCCTTCGTGATGGCCTTTATTACTTACAGCGGTGTCCGAAAGTCGTACAGGGCATGAAACTGGGCATTTGCTACCGCGAGCAGTGACGACAGCATGCTCTGGCATCGGAGATTGGGACATCCGTCTGTGGACAAATTTTCTTTGTTACGTACTGTTTTGGGTTCGAAAAGTATTGGTTCTTCCAGTGGGCATTGTGATTCTTGTTGGCGTGCTAAGCAGACTCGTACAGTTTTCCCTTCTGGGTCCATTACGACCAGTGGTTGTTTTGATTTGATACATATGGATATTTGGGGTGGCTATAAAACACCTTCTCTGGATGGTTGTCGGTTTTTCTTGACTGTGGTTGATGACTATAGCAGGGCTACTTGGGTTTATCTTCTAAAATATAAATCCGATGTTGAGCAGTATCTACGCTTATTTTGTCGGATGGTTGTAACTCAATTCCAGCGGCAGGTGCGTCGAATTCAGGCCGATAATGGTCGGGAATTTCAGACCAATTCTCTCTTGTCTTACTACACTGACCATGGGATCATCCTGCAGACATCTTGTGTTCACACCCCTCAGCAAAACGGCGTTGTTGAACGCAAACACCGACACCTTCTTGACACGGCTCGTGCTCTCCGGTTCCAAGCTGGCTTGCCTGTTCGCTTCTAGGGCGAGTGTGTCTTAACGGCTACGTATTTAATCAACCGCCTGCCATCCTCTATGCTTTCCGATCGGACCCCTTTCGAGGTGCTCCTTGGCCGCGCTCCCACCTATGGTCATCTTCGCACTTTTGGTTGCTTAGTGTATGCCAAGGACACACACCCCGGTTTGGATAAATTTGCTGAACGAGGTCGCCGTGGTGTGTTTGTCGGCTACCCACACTCACAGAAGAGTTACCGCATCTATGACCTCCATTCGCGCAGTGTTTATGTCTCCCACGATGTTCGTTTTGTGGAACATGAATTTCCCTTCTTACCTGCTACATCCGCCGATTCCACTAGTGGCATATCTCGGCCCTCTCCACCCTCGTTGGTCACGTTTGAGGGGGAGTCCGAGACCCTTGATCCTCTTATAACAGGGCACCTCACTAGCTTGGATGATGTTTGCGAGAGCTTTGACCTTGGTGATTCTCCTCCACCTCCCATGCATGGTGACCACGTTCCCTCTCCTGTACATGCAGAACATGTCCCTGATGAGGATATATCTTCCTCTCCTGTGACCAGCGACGTTCCCTCTTCATCACGAGAGGAGGACACTCCACCTCCCGCGGTCGGTCCCTCCCCTGCACCGGTTTTACGTCGCAACGATCGGGTTCATCGTCCTCCCCCTAGGCTGGCCATCTACGACGTTCAGCTTTCGGGCGCATCCTCTCATGCGGTAGCCTACCCTATTTCCAACCATGTGACTTATCACAGGTTTACTCCCCGTCACCAAGCCTTCCTTGCTGCCATTTCTCAGGTTGTCGAGCCCAAGCATTTTTGCACTGCTGTTCAACATGCTTGTTGGCGTGAGGCGATGATTAAGGAGATCATGGCTCTGGAAGGTAACGGCACATGGACACTAGAGTTTCTGCCCCCGGGAAACGTGCGATATATTGCAAGTGGGTTTACAAAATCAAGTATAACCCAGATGATGTTATCCTCACCGGCAATGATGCACAGTTTATCACTCGCGTCAAGTCACTTCTTAATGACCGGTTTAGCATCAAGGACCTGGGGCCGCTCCGGTATTTCTTGGGCATTGAGGTAGCTCGCTCTCCTGAGGGTGTTGTGCTTAGTCAACGGAAGTACACCCTTGACATTCTTCAAGATTCTGGCACTGCAGGTGCTCGCCCCAGTCGGTTTCCTATGGAGCAGAATCACACTCTCACCAGGCCTAGTTCTGAAACAGCACCAGATGCTTCCTCTTATCGTCGTTTGGTTGGCCGTTTGCCGTATCTCACAGTTACTCGGCCTGACATTGCGTATGCAGTAAATGTGCTCAGTTAGTTCGTCCACGCTCCTGGTCCTGAGCATGTTGATGATGCTAACCGCGTCTTGCGCTACCTTAAGACCTCTCCAGGCCAGGGCCTTTTCTTCCCTACTGGTAGCCCTCTGCGGCTTATTGCCTACTGTGATGCTGATTGGGGAGGTTGTCAGTCTACCCGTCGCTCCACCACAGGTTACTACATCCAGTTGGGTTCAGCACCCGTCTCTTGGCGTACTAAGAAACAGCGCGTTGTCGCTCGCTCGTCTGCCGAGGCCGAGTATCGGGCCATGGCTACTACCGTTAGTGAAGTGATCTGGTTGCGGTTTCTCCTCTCTGAGTTAGGTGCCCCACAGTCTGATCCGACACCTTTGTACTGCGACAACCAGGAGGCTCTCCACATCGCGGCCAACCCAGTTTTCCATGAACGCACCAAGCACGTTGAGATGGATTGCCATTTTGTTCGTGAGCGTGTTGTCACCGGCCCGGTTGCGCCTCTCAAGATCGATACTTCTTTGCAGTTGGCGGATATCCTTACCAATGCCTTGGGTGGGGATCAGTTTCATTTTCTCTTATCCAAACTTGGCATTCGTGATCTTCATGCTCCAGCTTGAGGGGGAGTGTTGGCGTGATTAATTGTACCCATTAGTAAACTATTATTACTTTGGGTAGTTTATTGTAATTGGTCTGCTTCTCCTAATTACTCTAGGTCTCTGTCGATGGGTATTAGTAGGGTTTACATCCCTAGCAGCCAAACTATGCTGGTAGGTGGATTTCTATTCTGCCGATCTCATATAGTGAAACTCATCTGAGAGCTCTGCTCTCCGTGGACTAGTCCCGTTATCGGGGAAACCTCGTAAATCATCGTCTCGTTTACTTTCCGCAGTTATCAGTTTTTACATATACCATGTGTTATTCGTCATTAATATGTTTGCTCGAGCAAATTTTGACCCTTTGGGAGAATCGATGAGCTAAAAACGAACATACTCACCCCATCATGATTCCCTTTCCCTTCTATGTTATCTTTCCGGTTAGCTACTCACCGTCTCTCTCCCCGGTCGTTTCAAATAATGGTTTAGAGTGGGTACAAACAATAATAATACTCCTCCTCTGATCAGAAAAAGGCCCATTCTCATCTCTCAGCACCACACATGGCCAATGGCAGTCCTTGGTTTCCTCTCTTTCTTTCCTCCCTACCTGCAAACCCTCAAATCAACCCATCTTCCCTCCCATGTTATTCCCCAACTATTCACTTCACCTCTTTCACAGCCTTTTTTTGTTTTCTACTGACATCGGAAAAGCAAAGGAGGGAAGGCAAAGAAGAAGAGGAAGAGACGGTTGACACATTTTTTCATCATTATGACCACAGCTAGCTTTGATCCTTATCATATCATGCAAACGCTACAGCTCTTTCCTGCAGCTGTTTCCCCTGCCTCCAACAACAGTAGCAACCTCAATCAACCCCAGAAAAATTCACTCACCTCCCCACCTAGTCTTTACTAAAAACAAAATGATGCACTGTACATCATCCCCATTCCCCAAATTCACATAATTGACCCCAACATTCCTTTAATTTTTCTTTCTAGGATCCGCCATTGATACACTGTCGGGGATACAAAGGCAAGAATTCTACAAGACTAGAACAATAATTACAGCAATGGATCTTTTTGCCAATCTGTCTTACCTTAATTGGGTATCATTAATGCACCTTCCTTGTTGATGGGTCGGGGAGCAAAAACATGATGAGAGGCAGGGGAAGAAGGTAGAGGTCTAGAGAGAGAGAGAGAGCGATTAACCACTCTGTTTTTCTTTGGTAATTTCGAACTAACCTCTCTCTCTCTCTCTTGCCTTCTATCTCTATACAAACGAACAAATTGATGAACTTTACATTCCCAAAGCTCCTTCAGACATGGCCTTTCCCCGCCCAATGGTGGCCAGCACCAAACACAAAGCAGGAAACAGAGTGTACGTAACTTTACTTCCCTCCTCACCAACAAAACAGAGTCCCCTGCCCACCTCCATTTCCAGCTAACCAGTAGCAGACAACGCAACCCCCGAATCTCAAAAAGGAAAATCCAGACAGCAAAATAGCAGGAAGAGAGAACCTAGCTCCCTCCCACACTTGTTTTCTGTACCTTTTCTCTTGTCTTGTTTCAGCCTTCAGGGCATGAAGAGCTTGGTGCCGCACTGGCAACGCCAAGCCTCCGGGTAGTACTCCAGAGGGAAACTCACCCCCGGCTGAACCGGGACGTGAACCGGACGGCATGGTGCACAAACCCCGCACTTGGATCTGCAGGTCGGCGGCGACGATCCCGGCCCGCCCATCCGCTTCTGGGTCATGAACCGGTCGAACCTCATTAACGCCTTCACCGACCCTCTTCTGCTGCTTCCCACCGCCACCACCTTCCCTTCATAATTGGTATCTCTGACTGCTTTTGTCATCCCCTGATGACCACCTGTCCACCCCAAAAAGTCAAACCAGAAAAGGAAAACCCCAACAATTGATTACATAACGAGCAAAGTTCAAAGATTTGGAGTCAAATCCAAAATTGGCGGATGTGGAGAAGTTACCAAGTTGAGCCAGAGCTGTGGTGGAGGACAGGAAAAGGCAGAGGAAGAGGAATGTGAAGGCGGTGGCGACTGTGGATGTCAAGTGATTTCTGTGACTGTGGCGGCGGCGGCGGGAAAGCATGGCCATCGCCTCCGGTGAGAAAGTCTTGATGTTCATAGAGAAACAGTGAGTGAGAGAGACGATGTGGTAATGCGAAGCAGGGGAAGGAGGCAGGGGAGGCTTCTCTATGTATTAATAATTGAGGGGCAGGGGAAGGGAACCGTTTTGCAAATGGAGACGGGGGAAGAGATTCAAAGAGAGGAGAAGAGACTGAGAGAAGAATAGCAAGCCGACGAGAGACGATGACTGAGGTTTTGGAACAAAGTTTGGAAGGAGAGGAGAGGAGGAAGGGAAGAGAAGGGCTTTGGGTTTGGGCTTTTAGGCTTTAGGCCTAAGGACAGGGGAGAGAAAGAGAAGGGGAAGAGGGTGTAGGGCCGAGGAAAGCCCTGAATGATTGCGACTTATAAGTAAGCTAATAAGCAAGCAGGTGATTAAGCTCTGCTACTGCTTGCCTGCAAGTCCTTCTCATCTCTTCTCCCATGGTGGTGGGTCTAAGTCTCTGAGATCTCTGATGTATAACATGTATATATACTACACTACACAGACTTGCCTTCCTTGGACACGTAATTTTCTGCAGCAGAGGGAAAAAAACATTTGCCGTATCTAATTGAAAGGGAGAGAGAGAGGTTGGAAACTCAACTGTTCATTCCTGTGTTCCAGTATTAGGTAGAGACCGGAGAGGGAGAGAGGGTATCA